GTAATAACTGTTATTGTCAATTGTACTGTTGTGTATATTAAAACGTATTTGTGTTAAAAACGCAGATATCAATCTTGTTGGCAAATATCGTAAATTAACTAATATATCGGCATATATTTAAATACTAAATCCAAAGTACAATTTAACTACTAAATTTAAATCATCAGTTAACTCGGCTTCGGACTATTCGAAATTCTAATATGTTATTAGCCGTTTTTCAGAGCGTCACTGCGCATGTAAGTTTGTACATCTTGAAAAGAAGAAGTTTTGAGAGTATGATATGTTTGAACTGTAAGTTTAACTTTTGTACATTACGATATTAAATAAAATATTTGAAGTTTATTTTTTTGAAGAAATTTTACAAGGTTAGTCTTGATTAAATTTGAAAAATAGGTAACTGTGAACTTGACATAAGTTAAGTAGTGCAACAACAAGAAGAACAACACGAGTAATTTTGCTATAATTTTTACAAATATGAATTTTCTCCCGCCATAAGAAAGCAGAGCGTTACCAGTTTCTGATTTAGATTTATTTAACGGTCAGTGACATGCAGAAACAACACTAAAGTTTGAGTAGTTATTTAACATGGTCAGTTAAAGATGTTATGTCGTATTGATTCATCTGAACAGAGAATAAACAGTTAATATTAATACGATGCACAATATAATGAAAAGATAAGTGTAAATGCAGCTAAAACTCAGGCTATGGAGAAAAGTGATACAGGAAAAGTGCTTACATTGTTCGAGTATTCCAGTAAGATTGAGCCCATGGATTTGACCTTACTAATGTTAAGACAAAAATATAGGGTATACTCTTTTATTCTTAACGATGACCACAGAAGGTGGACACGTATTTTTGGAAGGCTCAATGATAGCCTCTTCTAGCATTCGTGGCACGCATTTCTTGGAAAGTCTTCTATTTTTGGGATCTGTGCAACTTTAAATGATAGATGCGCAACATCCTTGATACTTTACCAATAATTATGATAGGACACATGTTCTCCTGTCTTTCAAGTCACTGAAGAAGAGGTTTTATTCACCACTGGTTATAGATGCTCTGGAAGTGTATCTGGCATACTATGTTCATTCTGCCCGAGCCCAGTTGTTTTAGTTCTAGATCCTCCACTGATTTAAGGCACTCTATATGCAATTTGAGGGTCGCAAGTTCGAATCCCCCATCGCCAAACATGCTTGTCCTATATGGTTGCCATCTTGGCCGGCTTTACGGGTGTAAACATTCTTGGCTAACAAAGTTTAGCGGCCGACCCCAAACTAATTGGGGTTATGGTTGTTACGGAGAAGAAGAAGATACTCAACTGATCTCTCTACGGATTTGGTCAAATCACTCTATTATATATTAAAGCTGACTAAAAGACCCCAGTCAGATCATCTAGCCCCCCAGTGGCACAGCGGTATGTCTGCGGACTTACAACGCTAGAATCCGGGTTTCGATACCC